ATCGTCCAGGTAAATGAGAAGCCGAATGATTAAAGCAGATTAAAGCTCAAACAGTATCTTTCTGTTAAAGAATCAGTTGACATTAATAAAATCTAACCACGCCCTTATCGTTTTCAGCCACCGATATATTCATCCACTGATTAGTAAAAAGAATTTCGTAAAAGGTCCAAATTTCTGTTTTGATTATAACTACTGATGTTGTTCACAGAATGTAGTTTTTTGCAGATTACTACTCGGACAGTGTCTCTCTGTAAGAATCAGTTGAAATTTTTAAAATCTAACCGCGCCTTCATCGTTTTCACCCACCGATACATTCATCCACTGATTAGTAAAAAGGATTTTGTAAAAGGTCCAAATTTCTGTTTTGATTATAACTATTGATTTTGTGATGGCGTGGATGGGGGAGTTTTCGAAGGGTTATGGGGAAATAAAGACTAGTTATTTTGAACTTTCGTGTATGTGTGATTCTTGGGAGGCGAGTTTCATACAGGACATTTGAATGGCTTATTATAAAAGTTCTTGAGTTTGTTATACCCGAGTTTATATACCTTAATTAAATTAACATGAGTCTCAAATCAAGCCTCAACAACACAATTGAAAATATTTTAAAAATCTCGTTTTATCGAGATTTTCAAAGAGTCCGGAAAAAATTCCAAAGAGTCCGGAAAAATTCCAAAAAAGTACGAAAGTCCGACCAAAAACTCGCCGGAATTTTGAAAGTCCAAGAATTCCGTACACTTTTTTTGGAGTGGTTTGCCCCTCGGATTTTGGTTTGAGATATGTCTCTTTAACAAAAATTATGTCGCCTGCATAGGCACTTTAAAAGATGAGATCTATATGTAAATCATCTGTGTCTCTACAGGTTAAAATAGATCATTTATTGCATAAATCCCATTAAAATATGAACCATTAGCATAGCTCTCCTTTCTTAATTGATAATAGTTCAGCTTACTGTTCATGGTACATTCTACACTCCGTGCCCACTCCATTTCCAGTTTTCAGTGTCCTTAGCATTGTCCAAATACTTTTTTCTGAGATGCCTCAGTGTTTTCCTTCTTGATTTGACCCAGGCTGAGCTCTTTCGGGCGGACAGCTTGATCCCCTTTCTCTATCATGTATGAAATATCCCCATCATTGAACTTTATGACTGCCAAATATGTGGCAAGAGCTACAGTCTCCTGTTTTACATAAGTACTTTTTGGACATATGTTCCAGATCATACCATTTAAACATTCATTTGGATTCTGCGTCAAGTTATGGATGCATTTCTTTAATAATTCAGGGTCAGCCAAGTCATTGAATATAGCTCAACCAGTTCTACAATGGTCTCAGGAATACCACCCTTCTGTTTGTTGGTTGTATTATCTCTTTGATAACCACACCAACTCTCCTGTCCTTTCGGAAAAAGATGATGTCGAGGATTCTTTTCTGACGACGCAACATGAAATAGAGAAGCCTTCACAGCTTTGACCATATCTTCAACACTTCCAAGGTTTTCCCTAATGGCCAAACCATAATAGTTCTGCAGGACATCCATCTTTGTTGTGGTTAGGCGACCTTTGCCAGACAATCCTTTGCATTCAGAGAGTTTTCTACCATTATTCAAACTCTCTTCGCAATCTACTTCCTACTCGCTTCTGGACATGCCCAATACATTCCAGTTTCTTAGGTATGCAATCCTCTCCATATGGTTTTTTTTCCAGAATAGCACTATAAGTTGATGAATCACCATGGCCAAGCGTATCTTGATATTTCAGTCCTCTGGTAGTGTGTGACCTTTCAAAGATCGGCAAGGCACCATGCTGCCTGAACGGCCAGTATGGTTAATTTTACACTGGTAATTTGCTTTTCACTCAGGATACTTTGGATCATCCATTCTTTTGCTCCATTTAAGATATTGCTGGCACTTGTCAGACATGACTTCGACATTAAGGCATTTCTTTGTGTCGAGGAAAATCGCCATTACAACACCATTGTGGGATGAGTAACCTCGCTTCTGCCATGTACCATCTATGGATGCTCCACATTGTCCAGCATCACTTTCAATAATTTCTTTAACTTGGACAGCATTGTTCACCATGCTATTATTGGCACACTGCTTCACTACAGGAAGTAGCTTTTTATTTTGAATCTTCGTGACTCACATGTGAAATTGGAACCATTAAAACACATGTGGTTCACATGAGGTACACATGTGGTGCGTATCACTTGTGGTGCACATGTGGTTCACATATGAGTCAAATGTGGCTCAATAATGTGGATCTTGAACAACCACATGTGTGGCTCACATGTTAGTCTGTTCGACGTTCACATGTGGTCACATGTGATCCACACAAACTGCTGTTTCCCATCATGCACTGAGAAGGCGCAAAATAAATTACTCACTCGTACTGAGTAATGAGAGTATGATCACAAGGTGAAGCAAATGCACATATATTAATAGCCATATAACAAAATTACATGAAACGTTTAACTAGGGGCTAGCTGCTTTCCACTGTCGCGTTGTTTGCACGTACATACACACGCATGTAAAAGCTTAAAAACTTCTAAGTTGTTGCATGATTATTTTTATGCAAGAAACAAACACAAAATCATCAACAGAATCCAACCCTATAGATGTATTCAATTGTTGATTTCGTAAGTAGCATTTAAATGATTTTAAACTTACGTCGTGCGTAACAATATATAATATAGGTGCAACATACGCGACAGTGGAAAACACCCCTATGTTAAGATACTCCTATAAATATAAAATAAAATTATATATATATATTCTACATTTAGTCATCCTACTGCAGTCCCTAATTTTCTTGCTTTTTTCTTCGAATTTCCATTGACAGCCTTAAGTCTTTGCACTTTTGTGCCATTAGCCTTTATAATCGTGTCATTTGCTTGTGAAAATTTCTTGATGATCAAAGCTGGAAAAAATATCAACAGGATTGTTAATATTTTTTAAACTACTGAATTTTATGATATGGGTACTGGATATTAATAGAAATGTGTGTATAACAGGCCTCTGCTGACTAAAAATATTATTTTGACAAGTAAGAGATACACATTGTATGAACTGAAACATGCTATTTTCACTACCTGTCAGGTTACCTAAACTTTAATTTTAACGAAAAGTTTGTCCTATGTAGGCATGGCAAAATACAGATACCAACCTATAATCAGTTCCACTTTGGCCCGATCTAACGCAGGACGCCCTTCCTTGCTTTTTCCTGTCACAGATTACTCCGCCAATATTTTTGTTTCAAACAAAGCTGTCATCAGGTTAACAGTCATTTTTTTTAAGTTTGGCGACCTCATAACTTCGCTAATTTGAACTGAGTCAATATAATCCTAAATGCATAGAAAAATAAACATGAAACTTGATAGGAAGGAAAGGATGCGAGGGCTAGGAAGGAAAAACTCCTTTGAGAAGAGTTTTTGCCGCGGGTTGTTTTCTAGGGAGGCGCGCGGGGTGCTTTTGTGCTTTTACTTGGGACCTACCAAGTGTTGCCGCAAAGTGTCATTTTTGTGAATGTGACGCCCGATTGTGTCCTGCGCGAGAGGAGACAGGAATGTTCAAAATAGCACAAAATGTGAAGCACTTACAAATTGTATTAAGAAAAGAGAAAGTATATTGAAAAAATCTTTGAATGAAGGCTTTCCTCAATCTGATCAATTTTTTTGGGTTAGTGCTCTGCGAGGCACTTCCAAACTCTGGTCTGAAACTTTTTGGGAGTTGTATTATTGCTCGCCAGGGACGCTTTGTATTCACTACAGGTTCATGTTCGGGCGATGGGGGGATTGGCTTGCTGGGAGTCGGGGACTAACATAAGTACAATTTGGCACACTTTTTTATAGACAAAGGTGCATTAACAAATAAGTACTCACTATTAGTCTACCAATGCTAGATTAAATTGAATCATTAATGAGTGAGCTCACACATTCAAACAAGAGATTGTAGTTACTTCTTGAAAAATTGTCAAAAACTAATTATCTAAATTTTCTATGATTAGATAATCATAGAGCATTTTTAATTTTGTCATCTGCTCCTTTCGCGGTATTTCTTGGACTTTTGAGCTTGATATGCTCTACGGTTCTTCATGGTTCAAGTTGCTCATGTCCAGAATGCTGTTAACATCTTCAGATGCTTTCTTTGAGGCATACCACGCCTCAAACTTGACTACAGCATCTAAATTTTCTATGATTAGATAATCATAGATCATTTTTAATTTTGTGATCTGCTCCTTCCTCCTTTCGCGGTATTCCTTTGACTTTTGAGCTTGATATGCTCTACGGTTCTTCATGGTTCAAGTTGCTCATTTGTGTCAAAAGCCTACTTTATACAAACAAGCATGTGTCACTTGCATAATAATAAATTATAATCGTATAATCATAATATAAACAGTGAATGTCTCCAGTAGCGTGGCCAACCATCTGGCGATTTGTCCCGATATGCTGATATAGCGTTGCGTTGGTAAAATATTCAATAGATTGGTGAGTTCAGTAGCAAACAGCCAATGTCACGAGATTAACACATAATGTTTTAGCGTCCGTGTCAACCGGATGACTATACATATGCCTACAATGCTGTAAAATGCTCACTATTCACTTCGCGTCGTGTTGGTAAAAGATTCAATTAATGGGTCAGTCCAGTATAGCAAACAGCCAAAAGTTAATAAAAATCATGACCGACAAAAAATGTTTCGAATATTTATAAGCTTTGGTCGTGACAATATGAATCTCGAAGGTCATTTCCAGATTGGATATAAAAGTAAAACCATAAAAAACTATGGACAGGTTGAAAATAATTTGAATGTTTCAATAACCAGCAATAATGAGCCGTCATCAAATATGTTATCCAATGGAAGAGGCAGTAATGAAAATGTCGAGGAATAAAGTGATTTCCAACTACGAGTTCTTTTTCATTTACAGATCAAACCCCACTTGAACATTTTTTTCAGTTTTTTATGATATCAATGTGGAAATATCATATTTTGAAAGGTTTAAGGATAGAAAATTAATTTATAGAAAAAAAATTTGGGAAAATTGTTAATTACACTAATTATCCAATATGGCGGCCACTAATTAGCGCATAATTGCAAAGCGTCATAAACATCATTACTCATGAACCAATTAAACCAAATTTGATGAACAAGATATTTTTACAAAGCTTGAAACATGAACTAATGCCTAAAGCTCTTCAATTTTGATTAAAATTATTTCTAAAAAAAGTTAGGCCAGTTTTCAGATAATTGAATATTTTTTGGAATAAATTCATGTGTTTGCGGAAGGAATTAGCAAATAATTCATGAATGATAAAAGATATAAACATCTGGACTGCTTTATTCACTAGATAATAGTATTGAAAGTACCCAAGCCAAATATCAATCTGATACATTTAATATTTACAAAATTATGATGTCACAAAGTTTGATGACACCTGAGAAATGGTAAAAATTAGAAAATTGAATTTAAAAGTTTGCTATACTGTCAATGTATCTTACATAGTGTTAAAAGCTCCCAGCTTCATAAACTACACCTTCTTTCTCTTGTATATCATCAATATACTTTTTTCCAAGGTGTCTTAATGTTTTTCTTCTATCTTTTACCCTTTCTGTGCTCTTTTTGGCAGATAGCTCAATTTGCGATTGATCGCAATCTTGACATCCTTCAACAGTAAATAGACCTGGCGTGATATCCAAGTCTTGAAGTATTTTTAGAATGGAAATGTCCCCATCATTAAACTTCAAGACAGCCAAATAGGTTGACAGAGCTACTGTTTCCTGTTCCACATATGTGGTTTTGGGACAGCGATCCCAAATTAGGCCATTTAGGCACTCATTGACATTTTGTGTCATTCCATGTGTGCACTTTTGGAGCAATTCAGGTTGGCTCAGTTCATTGAAGATAGGTTCAATTTCCTTCACAATGCACCCAGGAAGACCATTCTTGTGCTTGTAGGACTCTTCCTCCCTCTTGTATCCGCACCAACTATCTTCGCCATCCGGACACAGATGATACTGGGGATTCGAGTCGGTTGAAGCAACATGGTACAAACTTGCTTTGATTGCTGTGGCCATTTGGTCTACATCACTTAAATTCTCCCTAACAGCAAGTCCATAGTAGTTTTGTAGTACATCAATTTTGCCATCAGTTAATCTGCCTTTACCTCCAAGTCCTTTCCCATCAGCCAACTTCAAACCTTTCTTCGAACTTTTCAACCTCCGCAACCTGCTACCAACCCGTTTTTGGACATGACCAATGCACTCCAATTTCTTTGGTATACATTCATCTCCATAAGGCTTGCTCTGGACAATGTTATTGTAGGTTGAGGAATCACCATCACCAAGCATGTCCTTATATCGTAGACCTCGTGTTAACTGGGACCTTTCGAAAATACGTGATGCACCAACTGCTTCCATCGAGTTAGCACTCCCGGTGTGGTTTATCTTACACTGGTGGTTTGCCTTCCACTCTTGGTATTTGGGGTCATGTTGTTTCTTATTCCATTTCTGGCATGCTTGACACTTGTCGGAGAGTATCTCGACATCCAGAACTTTCTTGGTATCCAAGCTTATTGCCGTGACGACGCCATTATGTGAGACATGGCCTCGTCTTTGCCAAGTACCATCCAAAGAAATACCACACTCACCCCTCTCATTTCCACAAGACTCTTTAACATTTATGGCATTCTTCACCATACTGTCATTTGCTACCTGTTTTATAACAGGCAGTAATTTTTTGTTCTGTATTTTCGTGAAGTTGCGACGTGTTGGTGGTGATGGCATGTTCATAAGTTTGGTAAAAGTCACCATAGCATTATGACCTCTACCAATCTCTCTAAATGAAAGGACAGCTCTCACATTTACTTCAAATGATGGTCCTTGTTTCTTTGAAGTATTAAAGCAGTATTTCCAGTCACACTCGGTATGTTCACATTCTAGCACAATGTAATGTGAGAAGCCATGCTTCTTCTTCAAGTCAACATGAGAAGTCATTTTGTGACCACATTCAGGACATTTTAAAACTTCGTTAAACACGCCAAATAGAATTGACATGTCCATAAATATAGTTCCTTCATTTTCTGAGCCCATGAAAGCAGAGTTCTTGCCAAACCGTCCCTCTATATCGCCAATCTTCGTCTTAGAAGGTCCGAGATTTTTATTACTTGATACGCCATCTTTGAATTTTTTGGTTTGTTTCTGCCAAGCAACTCTTGCCCGTTTTCGCTTCCTATTACGAACATTTCCCATTTTCGTACGGGAAACCAGAAACAAATAACTAAACCAAACCAATATTCAACAAACAAATGTAATTTGCGACTAAATATCGAGGAAAACGGAAGAATTTCGAACAGAAGTTTACAGCCAACGTGTCAAAGACGATCGTGAATTTGCTATGCAAAAATATGAATATATGATCAAGCATGCTTCTAAAACGGACCAATCAAATCACAGCAAGGAAAATAGGTCTTTAAATACCATACTTCAAAAGTAGAAACCAGAAAAGCTAGTTCATGGCTGTATCGGGCGAGGATATATGGTAAAAACGCGTTGCTAAGGCGTTGCTAGTGAGGATAATTTGTGTAACCACAACTTTAGGAGCATTTTTCGCATTTAGAAATTATAAATTTCATGAAAGTAATTTAAAATTCGAAAAGTACACTAGTTAAAATACCCAAAACCTACAAAATCAAAATTTCGAAAACAATACGATAAATGACTTACAAAAGGGATATGACTACCTTAACAGAAGGTGTCTTTGCGTAAACATGGATGAATACCTCTCAAGTGTTTATTATAATGCTAAACGAGTGGGTGGGTTTGGTGGTGTTAATCGTTTATATGCCGATATAAAAAAGAGGGAAAATTTAAAATTACCCGTCAAGCAATTAAATGATTTTTAATGAAACAGGACGCATACACATTGCATAAACCAGTGCGACGCAATTTTAAAATAACCGTTTTTTTTCGTCTGGAATCAATGAGTCTTGGCAATTAGACCTCCAGTCAGACCTCCAGCCGACGTTCAGTCAATGCAGAAGTTTAAAGACGGCTATCGTTATCTTCTAGTTTGTATTGATGTGTTTTCAAAATATGCTTGGGTAATCCCTTTGAAAAATAAAATAGGAGGTCCTTCTTTGGTTGAAGCTTTCAAAATCATACTATTGTCAGTGCGCAAGGCTGAGAAAATTCTGACAGATCAGGGAACAAACATTTCGGGCTTTGATGAGAGAACAGGATATCGAACTGTACAGTACGTACGAGACAAAAGCATGTATTGTGGAACGATTAATTAGAACTCTTAAGACTAGAATGTGGAGATACTTTACGGCTAATATAACTATGGGATTTATTGATATGTTACCCGATTTAGTGTATTCCTATAATCATAGCGTACATCGTAGTATTAAAACAGAGCCTGTAAACGTCACCACTGAGAATGAAAGGAAAGTGTGGCATACTTCGTATGACGATCATAGGGTTGCAAAAAATGTAAAGTATACTTAACTATATAAGTTTAAGATTGGTGACAAAGTTAGAATCAGTAAGGTTAAACGTAAATTTGAAAAGGTATACTTGCCAAATTTTTCAAAAGAAATCTTCACTATTAGTAAACAAATAGCTACCTCGCAAAGCTCCTGTGTATAAGTTGAGAGATTATGAGAGGTTGGTGTATTTTTCGTCATAAGATCTGCTGGCATTCATTTTCTGTCCTGTCGAACTGTTCCACATGCCAGTGTCTTATTCTCATGCAGTTCTTCATAAAGAGCAGAAGAACTATAAAAATTATCCATGAACAATCTGTGACCTTTGTTCAAATATAGTTCCGCAAGGTCCATTACATCTATGGGAAAGCCCAACCTCGGGTGTTCTTTCGTTTTTTCCTGTGTAAATTTGAAAGTTACACACATAAGGCATAACAGAGTCAGCAAGAACCCAGTTCTTTACACCAAACTTTACAGGTTTTTTTGGCATGTACTGGATGAAACTAATTCTACATCTGGTGCCTATCATTTCATCTATACTGATTTCTCGATAAGGTGACCATTCCAATATATGCCATTAGTTCTTTCACAGAAACATTGACCCATTTTATATTAGAGGGCTTTCTGTTTCTCATTTCAGCAGCATATCGATTTGTCTCGTCAAACTAGGTTTGTACAGCGCAAGCGGAATGAACAAGTTCAATACATCCATGGCTGTTGTTGCTTGTCGAGCTTGTCGTGACCGGCCAGGCGTTTCAACATATGGAACTAAATATCCAGTGTTACCTTTGATTCCTGTAAAAGTTTTTGTATGTGCGCTGGTTTTCGCCTTTTTCGTTTTCCTTTTTGATTTCCCTCGACTTGCTTTTTCTCGTCGACAGCTAGGTCCAGGCTCATTATCAACCGTAGTCGACTCTGGTGAAAGAGTCTTTGTCCATGCAGACATGATAATGTTTATTTTGCTAGCATTATATCATCAGTATTTCCCAAGAAAGACGGAAAAATAGGAAATATATCGCCTTTGGAGTAGTGAAAAATGCTCTGATTATTCCTGGCTACTATGATGAATTTCAATTAACAAATCCTCCTGGCCAAGGACAAAGGTCCATAAATTAGGTAATAATTTTTCGTAATTTGACCCAAGTATTTCATTTAAAATCCTTTGGCAAAACACCGTATATACAGTTTTCCCGTTTTAGACGGCGAGTGTCATCACTGTCAGTGATCTGGCAGTTTCTTGCTGACACGAACTTCTGTCTCCTCACCTGCTGTCTTCCTTAAATTAATGCTTTGTGAAATTTCTAATGTCCTCCTTTTTTTGGAAGATTTTCCCCCTTTTTACTTTTGCAACACTTGTCCTTTAGGCTACAAAACATAGTGATGTAAATATAGAAAACACAATGTACCTCAGAATCAGCGTCATGGAACACAGAGTCTTGATAGCAAGGCACGTAATCTTCATCCCTAGCACGCGTGTTGTTGTCAATTTTGTGATCGTCATCATTCTCATGCTCCGAACCCGATGTATTTTCGCCACTTTCAAATTCTGAGGCAGTTTGAGCCGTTAAATCGTCCAAAACGTCCACAATTGACTTGTGCATCGTACCAGACGTCATTTTGGATTTTAAGTGTCACAAACGCTTGAAAATCTTCACAAAAATCGCCTCAAAACAACCAGAAATCCAACAACTTTTGAGTCAAAATGAAAGAACGATATATCTGCAAGCATTTGCACATGTGCTAACTTGCATAACCACCGACAACATATGAATGCAGGCCTCGGTTTGAAATTCAAGAAAGAAGAAGATTAAGAAAGAAACAAACTTACTTAGGGGGCTTTCTACTCTCATTTTTACATTCGCAACCTTCTGATGCAAAGCCGCATCTATTTCATTATTATTTAAAGCCTGTTTTCCACTAGGCGAAAAAGTTCGAGCGAAATGAAACTTCGAGCGAAATTGTCTGTCAATTTCCATGTAAAAAAACGCGCGAGTTTTCAAACGAGTGAATTTAGTCAATTTACGAATTTTCAAAATGGCTGCCGTGAATAATAGATATTACTTAAGGCTGTTGCTATTGTTATGCTTGTGATTACGCCCCAGGAGACGCAGCGAAAAATATAAAAGGTTTTGGGTTTGAAAAATCTATCAGGAAAGATGTGGAAAAGGTGAATAGCATCTGTTAGTGAAAGAAATGATGTTGTTTGACCATGAGTACTTTGCTAGAAGATTCAGAATGTCACCTGCAGCATTTGAACGAATTTTGACATGGATAGGGTCAGCTCTTTAGAAAAAGTCTACTTTAATGAGGTACCCAATACCACCTAGTGAGCGTTTGGCGTTGTCATTGAGATACCTAACAACTGGGGATGCCCAAGTGACTATTGCAGCAAGTTACCGAATTAGTTCAACTACCACTGGTAGAATAATTCATAAAAGCCAGTTGTTGCCAAGTGATAGCTTGCAGTTTCTGTCTTTGTAAGATGACAGACTCGTGTTCCATAGGCATTCGTATTTTTGCAGTATATGAATAAACACTTCAACATCAAATTCTTTGACATATTCATTATCTTCCTGGGTAGCAAGAATGCTAACATCGCCACTCTCTTCAACGTCCGCCATGTTGAATTCGCTCCACGAGCGAAATCGAAAAAAAGTCCCTGAGATTTAAACTTCATGGCAAAAAGAATTGTATCGCAGTCGAAATTGCCAAGCAGCTATTACGCATGAGTAGTTGGAATTACCGTCGAAAATTTTTATTTCGCCTACTGAAAATCCATCCGCCTTAAAGCATATGCAATGTTCCATATATCATTTTGAAGCTTAAGACATGATCTACAAAACTATGATAAAACTTTAACCTGTGCATATTTAAAATCTAAGCATGCAAATATGCTGAATTTAACTTAAATAATAAATAACATCATAGGATATTATGATGATGATCCAAATAATTCATATTTAAAAAATCTGATATGATAAACAACTGATTTTATTCAATGGTTTCTGCTTCAACGAATTCTGTCTTCTATAACTACTACTTAACACTAAGTATAGCGGCAAAATATGCCATACTTTATCTGAGCCTAAGTCATGATGCTTAAAATTATATTTATGTCACTGGTATCCAAAATCTCACGCTGTCGGTCGTTCAAACTTTCGAATGTTTCGCGAGAGATATAAGCATGACCAGCAAAGACTGGATTTTTCCGCCTAATATGTAGGCTTTGCAAGTGGTAATAAGTATTTGTAAGCTCATTTCTGAAAACAAGTCCTCCCTGTCTGCGCACATTTACGAATTACTCTCCTGTCAACATGTTTAATAACAGTATTAATGGGGCTGGAGCTGGGGGTAATGGAGCTATTCTATACTTTTCAGCGAATTCATTTCCACCGCCATACTATTTTTTTTACATTATTTGATAAAAAACGACTTCGTAATGGAAGGGAGACATACCAGAATGCCATTGCCCATCGGCTGGCGAGAATTGCATGTAATTATACTGAGGTGGTGGTACTGGTGTATTAAACGTTTGACCATAGTATTGTGCTTGTGTTGCCATGCTTCTTGGACGTGCTTGAAATAATTAAACACACTCTGATTTCATGTTTTATATTTTATATTTTAAACTACAAAACTTCCCCAAACTTTAACACGCTCTTCTTTCTCGTATCTCTCTCGTCCCCATGCTCCCGCCTAATAACGTCAATCATTACAGTGCTGAGCAAGCAAGTCGCGTAATTTGTGTTGGTCGCTGAAATGGCAAAAAAATAGCAGGACTTGCTGAATATATACTCGATGTGGGGATGCTTTTTAGCGTCGCTTCGGTTTCGATTATTCTTCTGCTAGTACTGCAGGAAATCTTTGGACGACAACGCGTTGTAGAGGTCGAGATTTCATTGCGAGTTTTTGTTTTCTTTCTGCTCTTTTTCTCATTGGGACGGAAACTTGTGCAAGGATCGATAGTCCTAGTTGTATTTAAATCATTTCTCAAAATTTCAGCGCCTAGCTTTTTAGCATGGCTTAACTCTCGCGCATGTGCCCTCTTTTTTCTTTCAACAAACGAAGAACCAGAACCACCAGTTGAAGTTCCAGCAGCATATGCTTT